TACCTCTCAACATAAAGGTAAAAAAATAAATAAATAAAAATTGGTATGTTTGCATTACCATACAATAGATATTAACTAGAATCAATAACTCATGCTATTACTTATTTGTACAGATACCACTTATTACACGACTTTGCTAATTGCACACTACACAGACAATTTACATTTTACAATTTAAGTTATAATTTTTGATGACAAACATTTGCACTATATGTATGTATGTATTAATTTTATGTTTTTGTTGAGTATAATTGTAAATGTACATACACTCACGGCCAAAAGTATTTACCCAGAGAATTTTTCACAACCGCTTTTATATTAATTTGTTCTGCTAGTTTTTTATGAAAATATTGTTAATACTAAAATAAAAAAAAATTAAAAGTTCAATTTCTAAACTTTGTGCAAAACTCAGGGAAAATCAATAAATTTCCATGCAAGTTTTAAACTTTTTAATCACATTTCATTTTTAATTTTTTTTTTGTAGCTCATTAAATTTTATGCAAGTTTGAAGTTTTTTTTTTTATTGAAGGTGTTTCGCATTTTCCCCATTCAAAGTATTCTCAAAATTTTTTAAATGGAAAAACATGCATGAAAAAAAAAAAATTTATTGTACTAAAATTTAATTTCTAAAAAATCTGATCAAAAAGCTGAAAATCTGCATGAAAACTTTTGCACAAACTTTAGAAATTGTATTTCTATATTTTTTTTTTGTAGTGTTAACTCCATTTTAATAAATAGCTGGCGGAAAAAAAATGTTTGCTTATGTTATGAAAAATTCCCTGGGCAAATACTTTTCTTTGGGCCGTTAGTGTACATATCGCACGCCATCTTCAAAAGATGCACAACTCAAAATTTGGCATTTTTGAAATTATGCGCTAAAAATGTACACAGAGCTTTTATTTACCTTTCCGCATTAGCTGGAGCAAATTTTTGTTATAATTTGTTAAAAAAAAAAACCTAAGGTGAAGGCTCCCTTGCCCATATAATTATCAGGTGCAAAGAAATAGTTTTTCGTATATTCTGACAAACGTGTAATTTTGAGTTGTGCCCCTTTTGAAGACGGTGTGCGATATGTATGTATGTAATATGTATGCAGATATGAAATTTTTGTGAACAATGATTATAAATACTTAAAGGATAAGTTACATATGTATTTCTTCGCTTTTTACAAGGTTTTTTTTTCGAACATTTATAATAAACTTTCACACAAGTTACTTTCAAAATATTTATCTTAATGCAATGATTTTTTTTCATAAAAAACATTTTTAAACAAAGCACATTTTTCAAGGTATTCAAAACAACTGAGAAGATAATTGAGTTTGAATATGAAACGCGTGGCATACATGCAATGATAAGTAAACAGGGATGGAAAAACAATGTAGACCCAAGTTTATGAAACTCCTTGTCTGTTTATTTTTAGCATAAAAAAGTTGTTTCTCAACTTAAAAATGATTTTTTTTTGTCATTATCTAATGCTCTCTTATTGAGCAAATATCTTTTTTAAATTCATTTAGTTAATGTTTTTTTTTAATAGAACGATATCTATTGATTCCTATCTTTTGTGGCGGTCAAGTTTTTTTAAATCGGTTGTTTTTGACTCATTTGAATAAAACATTGGATATTGGGAAACTAATAGCAGAAATATTCCCAAAAAAAAGAAAAGATCAATTGATTAATATTTGTTTTAAAGTGAGACAAATTATGTAGATTAAAAAATTTAATTCAATAATTCTAAAAATATATTCGCTTTTAGTTTTTTTTCAGCAAAACTTAAAATCTTTTTATGCCTAATATTTAAATACATAGTACAATCACCATCATATCATCAATACAACACCCTATTTTATATAAGAAACGCTACATAGCTTGTGCCTGGCACCGCCTATTTATGACTACAAATGTGTATCAATTTCATTTCATTTTATTTTTTACTTCTTTTCATTTTATTATTATTTTTTGTATTATAATAAACTTTTTATTTTATTTTAATCAACTTTTTATTGTATTCTATTTTCTGTATTTTTTATTTAATTTAGTCTTTTTGTTTTATCAATTTACTTTTTTATTTATTTAATTTTTTATTTGTACTTTTTATTTAATTTATATTTTTTATTGTACTTTATTTTCTTTAATTGTATTTTTATTTCGTTTATGGTATTTAATTTTCCTTTATTTTATTTGGTTTTTATTGTATTTTATTTACTTTTTTATTGTATTTGTTATTTTATTTTTCTTTATTTTTTATATTTTATTTGTTAGTGTTTTTTATTATCTTGCTTACTTTTTTATACTTAATTGTTATTTTATTTTTGCTGAGAATTTTTTAATTTTAATTTTCTTGCTGAAGATCTGTCATTATTTAAAATAGTATATGCAAAGGAAGTTTCGTAAGTCTGTGGCTTTTTGATGTTTTGTTTGATAGCCATTGAAAACAGACAACCCCTTAAATTTTTACGTAAATGGAAAAATGCGAGTTTCATCATTAAAGCATAAATTCTGCTAAGAGCTGCTACTCCGCTACCACCGTTGCGTAACCGTGGACGAAAATGTTTGCATCACAATAAACATTTTGTAGTTCACTAAAAGTAAAACTCCACTCCAAGTTTTTAAGGCGTTCAGTGTCCTTTTCAACTGCATATATGTATGTACATAAATTTAATATTTATTTAAATTTTTGAGATTTTTTTTACGTTCGAATCCTTTATGATGCGATTTATGGAAGGTTCCAGAACTGTTTTTCGGCGTGATTTCCATCCCTGTTACTATTTTGTGTTTATGTGTATGTACATTTGTATGCATTTTTGCTTAGGTGTATGTATGTATGTGCGCTAAAATATGTATTTCCTATGATACTGTGTTGTGTCATGAACATCTGGAACTCCACCAATCTCACTAAGACTTACTAAGTTACTATCTGTAGCTCTTAAATCTATTGAATTCAGTCGGATTGTTTGGTGTGTTTTTGGCGGCGGCGGCGGCTTTATGCAACTGTGACAATGTTGATGTACGAGTATATTGTTGATGTGCAAAAGATGAGAAATGCCTCTTCGCCTTTGCCAAATACAGCTCCCAAAGCTTTTGCATTTGTTCAGGATTGATGAGATGCCAAGCATAGATGAATTCCACACTATCACTTGTCGTCACATCATTGAGCAAATTGTCACAATCATCTTCATAGAGTATATATTCGTAGGCATTTGTTATGGGCGCACTGATATTTTGCGCCAAAATTCCCGTTATATGGACGTCATCTATCCAAAAGTATGTCGATACTTGCGCGGCATTGTACAAAGCCAATGCCACATCTGGCGAGTATATTATAGCAAAACCTGGACAGTATGGCGGATAGTAGCGACCGGCATATTCCCGCACATTGACACGCCATTTTGAGCGATAGCTACGTTTGACTTGAGCATTAATAGTCGTTTTGCAGAAAAGCAAATCTTGCGGATGACGGAATAACATTTGAGCGGCATTAAATTGGGTGGCATTAGTGCGCAAAGTCGATAACTGGGGATTGACATGAAGCGTGACGGAGGCATTTCTTACAGTACCTCTACTACTACTTTTACTGCTACTAGTACTACTTCTACTACTACTACCACTACTTTCCATGCTGGTATTTCCAACAGCGTTGCTAACGGTATCGGCGGTATGTTGCATAGATGCTGCAGCAGTGGGTAGCATTCCTACCCGACTCTCCAACGCATCACTCTGTAGTGTACGCTCTAGGTAGATGAGCAATTGTGGCGTATTCACATAGACATCATCATCGACCTTAATTAATATTTGCGCATGCGCACAATTATACAGAAACCATTTGAATGCCATTATATGCTTATAGGTCATATTGCGATAACTATCCACAAAGGCGCCCTGTATTAAATCACCATTTTCGAAATTCTCCCGCTCAATATCCAACTGTTGTGCCTCGGTCTCGACCATGCCGAGTAAAAAGATAATTCGCAATGGTATAACGCCATTAACGCGCGGAAGTAAATCCATATTGGCCCAGGTGTCACGTATAAGGCGGCGCTTTTCCTCATTCGCCGGCGCTGAATGCACCAGTATCAGTCCTTGTATATCCCTACTACAGCCATCCTGACTTATAAGGTACGCGAAGTCGTGCAAATCGATTAGTTGATGGAAGTCATCCGGTGGAAAGTTGTACGCTCTCACATTGCCGGCGGTCGTTGTTGTTTGTAAGTCTGCGTTATTCTTT